GAGAGAGAGAGAGAGAGAGAGAGAGAGAGAGAGAGAGAGAGAGTGGGGGGGAGGGGGGCACTAGGGGGGCCGTACATTTTTGTGGGGGGCACAATATATAACTTTTCTTTGTATTATACTGTTCTAACGGCATTGTTTTTAATTCAATTTTTTTTATCAAGCATGAATTTTTAGTGGGGGGGGCACCTGGGGGGCACAGAAAATTTGTGGGTGGGCACGTGCCCCCCCCCCCAGGTCCCCCGTAGCTACGCCCTTGCTCATTAGTGTTGAATTGCAATGCAATATCGTCTATATAGCTTGCCACAACGCGTTTATCTCTATAGTTTTCTCGGATATATCCAAACATCACGTGTTTGCAAGCAGCGACATCTGTCGAGGGTCACAGCAATTAGCGCGGTCAGTAGGAAATGATCGGTGATAGTTTGTTATTTATTCATCACGGTAGCAAACATGAGAACTATAGGCTATATACACAGCGGACGACAACCAGAGGAAGCTTTGTGCTTTATTGCTAAAGTTAAACAAGGTTAATCGACCAGGACAGTGAAGGGCGTAGGTTAACTAGCATGCGGGGTGGGGTAGAGTGTAGCTTGAATGTCAGTGCAGGTGGGTCAGGGGCACGATCGGTTGCGGTTTAGAGAGGAGTAGAGATGAGCGATTGTTCCTCACACTATCCTCCCACAGGGAACATCGTTAGCGCTATTGTAAATCAACGATTACGCGAGGCGGTATTTGATTTCCTCGAAATTATTATTTATTTTATTCCCTAATTTATTATTAGGTAATCATAAATCCTCACAGCAGTGTTAGCATGCTGCGGATGCGGACAGTGAAACCCTGCAGGTATTCACTCATCCAGGAGAGCTGTCGATGAGAGAGAAGTACCAGATTGCCGCGTGAAGCCAACAATGCTACGAAAGATCTAAATCCAACTTAAACACAGTGAAAATAACTAAATAATAATAATATAATTAGGTTATAAACAAGTTTTCAACGAATACGATTATAGAATATAATTTACCTTATTGATTTCCGTGGCATCTTGTATATATAGTTGGTTTATTTGATCACATGCTCTGACAAAATCTAGTGTAATAACTAATTACAAAAAAATGATACTTTAGATATAATCTAAATAATCAGCTACGTAGTAAAAGGCGCGGTTCTTCGTTTACTTAACGGGTGAAATATTCTGGATCGGATAAAATCCTGGATAATCTGATAAAATCATCGCAATTTATTCCATGTTGGCGTAGAGATATCAGTGTTTAGCTCATCGACGGGAATGTAGAGAAATCAAAACTGAGCATCGCCGTCAGCGCGTCTGTACTTGAGAACGATGGTGTCGCCATCTTGTGGGATGAATTCATCGATTCCTTACCAAAAAACAACATTAGTTCGTTAGTTGACAGTTTTGTGACAATTGTTTTCGTAGCTTTATATAAAATGTAAGAGCGCATCCGTATAAAAGCTAGAGAAATCGTACCGACGTGAACCGCGTATTCGTCTCCGCCAGGGGCGCTGCGGTACACTGCCCAGAAGCTGTTGTCACGGAGACTGGCGTCGACGTTGAACAGTGACGTCAGCATGTTACCTAACTCCGTCTGCTCGGTTTCAAACCTGCGCATGCGCAACAGACAAACGCTAAGAAGCAACCAAGTGGATTCATCTCCATTTGCTATGATCAGGTGCCCGTTGTCAGAAACAAATTAGTCTTAACAATTAGTCTTAACATTAACTTAACTTTACTGTAATTATTGATTAAATTGACTATTGATTAGGTGGCAAGAAGTCGATTAATTCTCTTACGAGAAGTTCGGGTCCATTTCTTGCACCTCAGTCAGTATTTTATGAAGAGAAGAATTGGCCGTCACCGACTCAAGCCGCTCGTTGTAGTAAGTGTTGACATCTATCGCATTCTTGACGAGCATGTCGACCGTTATGTACTTAGGGTTCGTCTGCCAGACATTATACATTCCGTTTGTGTTGATGGGTTCTGAAATCACAAGGAAGCTGTTTTACTGATAATCTATCATTTTACTGTCGTGCTTGACCTAAGGTTAGTAACGTCAGGAACGTCATTTAAACGGAAAAGTTGTATAGGAACAGAGGTACGCAGGTTCAACAAATTTATAATAAAGCGAATTAATTTAGTTCGATTTTAAATTGATCGAATTCATTTGATTCTTGTTCCAAAAAGCCCACTACATCGCGGGTGGAGCCACATCAGTGACACGGTGCGGAATTCAACAGCGATCTACAACAGACACGTCACTATAGGCTGGTGTCTGCGCAAATTACAAATCAATCTGTTGGTCTATAACTAACGCGACAACGCGTGTGCAAACACGTCGTCACGCCTCTTGCGAAACAGGTAAATATAGTGTGTACTGCAGGGGCCAATAAGCATCGAGTACGCGCACGGGGGGTATCTCTCATTTTTATCGCAGGGGGACGGGTGTGGCGGGGAAAGCGACGATTTCATGGTGACTGTACCATGATTATTAAACATATTTTGAATTATTAAAAAATAATATTGTCGGGCGCTCATTCGCACATGTGACACCTCAACACGACAAATCACCGCATTTTTGTCCGCTAGTTAGGCTCTCTGCTTAGTACTCAGCAAAAAAAGATAGAGTGTGGAAACGGTGCCAAGAAGAGAGCCTGTAAACTGAGAGAATCTCTTCACTAGCCCACTAGGGCACAAGCAATTTAAATTTAACGAGATGGCGTTCTTCGTGCCGCCTATTATGTCCTTACTGCAAGTTAAGAACAGTGTGCGGTAATACATTGTTCCCGCGTGCGCATTTCCCGTCGCCTACCTGGTGACGTCACTCTGCATAATGCGTCATCGCGGATGTATGTGCGCCACCGTAGCGCCGGCAGCACCTCGGCCGTTGTGAAGACACTGTGCCCGTACGACCCGTCATTCTCGGCCATGGCACAAAGCGCGCTGGTGGCGCCGTGCACGCGATCGAACTGCGTCCTGCCGACGTGCACCGGCGGCCATATTTGCGTGACGACGCGCTGAGCAGCTTGCAGCGCCTGCAGAAGAACACGGGCGGATGCCATGGCAACAACAGCGGTAATGTTTGCGTCACGACGCGTCCTGCTGCCATATCTCACGCATCGGAATCATTAAATCGTGTTATACATTTTTTACAGATAGTTGTTGAAATAATGATTTACGTTTTTTGCGTTTATATTTGCATGGGCTATGTTGAGAGCAGGTAAAGGTAGTGCCTACGTTGAACCAACATAAATATACACTAATGAGACTAATGAGTAACGATGTAGGTCCTGAGTAAGAGAGAGGCAAGACAATGTGCCCATGAGAAAACGACGCTGGTCCAATATTGGCGTCTGATGTAGAGCCTATTTAAGGACGGTGAGCCTACATAGGGCTAACATATGAATCATATAACAGGTGCTGTCTGCGTGGTTCGTGGGACGCCATCTTTAGACGCCAGACCCCGGGGTGGATCCGGGTCCCGTTGTCAGAAGCGTCATAAATCTAAGACGCAATCGAAGTACATAAATAAGTATGAAATGGCATGCATTTATATACGACGCAAAAACTGATGACATTTTAAACTTACGATAGTCATAACGACTTATGACTTATGATGTTTCTGATAACGGTGCACCTGTCCCCCACGCGCCCACCCTCACCTGTCCCCCACGCGCCCACCCTCACCTGGATCGCTAGTGCGGTGGTGTGTGCGTTGCCAAAGGTCATATCCGACAACTGATGAGCCGCTAGGTGGTTAACTCTTTCCTCGAAGTCAAGGTCGAGGTTCCAGAGTGGCTGGTCTTTCTGCACGAGGCAGCTGATCGCCATGAGAGCGAGAGAGGCCTCGTCTGTATAGTCGTAAGGTGATCCCAATACATAGCTGTTACATACCTGCTACTTACGCACACGCACGAACACACTCAGGAACACACACGCGCGCGCGCACGCACACATTCACGCACACACACACACTACAGCGACGTTTTTAAATCGGTCAGACATCACGACTTCACAGCTTCACGATTTTACAGCGGTATCAGTACAGTACAGCGACAGCGCGCGCGTTACCGTTAACATGACCTATATACACCTTGACACAATTCGAATCCCTACCCATGCAGTGTGGCGTATATACATACAGTATGGTTCACTGCCAAGTCTCTTTATTACACATTTTCCTATTATTATATACGCATTTATTCGCTTATAATTCAGACGTTATATACATCAGTGTCTCTTTCTTTAATTAATCTACATATAAGCTTCTCTCTATGATATATACAGCCACACGAACACGTACCGCACGTTATGTAGCCTTCGCTTTCTTAATTCTTTACAATTATATTATTATATTATGCCAAATAAATTCATGAGGCTACTGATAGGGTGTAGCGTGAGGCGCGAAATAAGCTTATAAATTAAATTTCTGCTTGAAAAATAGAAATTTTTGACCACCGGTTGTGAATTTTTTTAATGCGTTAATTATTCCCTTCTGAAAAATTAACGTTGGCATAATACCGTCTAATTCTTTACCCCGAACTTTGTTTTACCTCTCTTTCCATACGAATACTCAAGCCTCATAGTCCACGGCTCACTTTAGTCATTTAATAAACAAACATTAGTTGAAGATATGTTAATATTATTTACTTCACTTTACATCACTGATATTACGGCGAACTGGTGAAAGTTTAACATGATAAATGTGAACTGAGATTAACGTTACTGCTTTAGAACCCTCGCCTTATCCGCACTCGTATGAAGTCACACAGACACTCACCGCTCGCTCGTTATACGTGCTCATCATTGCGTGGTGATTTAATCTTTACCGTAGGTCTTTAATTCCGCACAATATAATAAAGATTTACAGCGCACACACTCGCACGAGATGTTCACATCGCGGATTGGTATTTATACTCAACCCAATCATACATTGGTTAGGTGTCAGAGCTATTAGATAGTGCTGACACCTACCGTTCTTGTACTTAATATATATAGGTTTTGTAAAAAGTGAAAATAAACATGGTGATGGGTGATTAGACTGACACCACACGTCGCTGTAGCTGACTGACGCTCTCTCTCTCTCTTAACTCCTAACTCTCAACTCTCAACTCTCTACTCTCTACGCTCTACGCTCTACGCTCTACGCTCTACGCTCTACGCTCTACGCTCTACGCTCTACGCTCTACGCTCTAC